GCCCCGCTGCCGCCCCAACCGCCGCGCCGCCCGCCGCCGATGGCCCGGCCGCCACCGCCACCGTTGGCGGCCGCCTCCCGCCCACCCGCACCGCCGCCCTCGCCACTGCCACCCGCGCCGCCGCCTCGCCAACGCTGCCGCCGACCCACCCTCCCGCCCGGCGCCGCTACCGCCGCGCCGCCGCTGCCGCCCTCCGGGCCGCCTCCTGCCCCGCCACCTGCCTCGCCGCCGCCCACGCGACTGGCGTCGCCGCCGCCAACGTCACCGCCCTCCCCACCGCCCTCCCCACCGCCCTCCTCTCCGCTCTCACCGCCGCCGACGCGCCGCCACGCCGCCTCTGCCTGCCGGCCTCCTGCGTTCTCGCCCCACCTCCCACACACCACCACCGACCTCCCCGCGCCCCCACACGCCGGCCCCGCGCACCCACGCCACCACCATCGCCCACGTCGCCCTCCCCGACCCCCACCCCGCGCCCCAGGCTCTTCACAGCTCCGCTCGGGGCGTCCTGGCGCCGCCGCCCCAACCGCTGCGGCGCGACGGCGGCTACCGGCCGGCATAACCCTTCCAGCGCCGGCCGGGGGCTGCGGCGGCGCGCGGCGCGCGGCGGGCAAGCTGCCTGCTGGCGGGCGGCGCTTCTAGTCGTGATTTTAGTGCCGCGTAGGTCGCCCTTCGGCCACTTCTTGGGCGTGCGGCCGCGGTGCGCGAAAGGGGGGCGCGCTGCGGCTCGCTGGCGGAGGTGAAGTCTCCTGGAGCGGGAGCTGGCGGGCCGGGGGCGTCGGGCGGGTGCGTGATGGCACCCGTGCCACCGGGACGGGCCGTGGTGGCCCGCGTGGCGGTCGTGAAGGGCCGTTTGGTGCGCCCCGGCGGCCTCCTGCACGGCGGCCGCCGGGGCCGGTTTGGACTGTGTTTGCGGGGGGTGGAGGGGTCCGATGGCCGGTGTTATGGTCGTTTATCACCCTCCTATCACCCACTTACCGCCCCCGGCCGTGGGGGCCTCTCCAGACGCCGCCATTCATGATTTCAAAGGGTCCTGCCGACGCTCATATCACAGTGCGGCGGAGCCTGCCGGAAAAAATCCGGGGTTTAGCTGGCATATCTCGGGCCCACGTTAGAGCTAGGCATGATCTTAGGTGTTCTGGATAGCCCACAAGGGTCTTCTGTGGCATGGTAGCGGTGGTTTTGCGCGAGGCGTTCATTCAAAAATCACATTATCCCCCCCTAATTCTGGAGCGATTGTTACTGTATTTGTTTGCGCTCGATAGCATTGAAAAACAGAAATGCACACGTGGACACTTTTAACTGTCTACGGCCATGGGCCCGGTGGCCTTGCCCCTCTGCCCGCGGGTTACCTCCCCTTTGGCGCTGGGCCTCTGCCCCTCGTGCGCGGTGCGGCGCGGGGAGGTAGCCCGGGGCGGAGGGGGGATGAGCCGGGGCGGTCCCGGTCGGCCGAGGGCGGGGCAGTGCCGCCGTGCATGACGCCACCATTGTGCGTAGAGCGTGTGCAACTTGCTCGGCGCGCCCGCGTGTGCGCTGCGCAGGCGCGCAGGGGGCCAGCGCCACGGCTTCCATCCCGCAATGAAGTGGACGGCGCGCGGTGCGAAGGGGGTACCCTCGCCGTGAGCTGCGCGGTGCCTAGTGAGCACAGCAGGGGTCTGATAACTAGCGGCGGGGATCGCCTCCCCGTGAGCTGCGCGGTGCTTAGTGAGCATAGCAGGGGTGATAACTAGCGGTGCCTGCGCGTCCAGTAGAGGTAGATACGGTCGGAGGGGATGTACTCGCCGATGAGCATCGCGTACTCGCCGGCGACGGCGTCCCATGAGAAGTGTGGCGAGTGGCCGTACACCTCGTTGAGCCAATCCATCTCCCCCGCGTAGCGGGGAGGTAGCTGTTGCCGCAGCGCGCCGCTAAAGCGCTTGCTGCTCGTGTTGATGAGCATGGGTCCTCCGCTCTGGAAGAAGGGCTGCGGCAGCCAGTAGGCTCGCGGCGCGCCGAGGGCCACCTTCGGTCCGAGCGCGAAGAGGTGGTCGAGGCTGCGCAGCACCAGGGTGTCCGCGTCCACGTAGACGACGCGCGCGTACGGTAGTTGGCCCGCCCACAGCTTACCGAAGGTGACGGCGAAGTTGTGCTTGCCGCGCGAGGGTGCGGGCGGGTAGTGCGCAAGTCGGACCTGCCCGGACAGGTTTCCCAGCCCACCGTGCATCTGAGTCGTGGCTACGATGACCACCGGGTGGGCGGTGCCCGTCTCCAGCACACTCTGCGCCCACACGCGAGCGGCGCACGCGTACTCCGCACCATCGCCCACGAAGGTCGCATACGCGCAGCAGCCAAGGATGGGACCGTACGTTCGTGCCGGAGAGGCATTCGATGTGTTTCCGTGCATCGAAGGCCTGGCAGCTTGCACCACTAGTCGGCGTGCTCCGGTGGCGATGTGGGCCAGCTGGGGGTGCCACTAAATCGGCGACAAGTCGGCGGGCTCCTGCCATCAGAAAAAATTCCTTTTTCAGGGCCCGAGAGCGATATGCCATGCCCGCCTTGCGTTTGTTTCATTAGGATTCCTACATCGAAGGCCAAAAGCGAAATCGCAGAAAAAGAAACTCGTGCTCCCGGCCTCAGGCGTTCCGGCCGCGCCAGCCCCCTGGTCGTGCCCCCTCTATCATCGTCGACGAATTTGATGACTGTTCGCCTCGCGCTCGATCGCCTCGCGCACGAAGCCGGCTCGGTGCCAATGCTGCTCGTCGTGCCCGAGACACCAGCTTTCCGCTGTCGTGCTCGAGAGGCGGCAGCAGGCGCTATCGTGCTCGAGGTTGGCTGCTCGTACGGAGAGGTGGTGGCCATCACTGCACGCTCTGGTCACACTCCGGCCAGCGACCCACCGTTGGTGCCGCCAAACGTCTGCAGGCGACCGCATCCCTTCTCGCCGCGGGTGCGGCGTCTGTGCTCGGGCTCGACTCATCGATCGAGTGCCTCCGCTCCGCTCGCGGCTCGGAGCGACTCGCGCCGCACCTCTCGACCGGACGCCTCTCCCTCCGCCTGCTCGACGCGCTTCGCTACCCAGCGCAGCTCCAGGCGGCCGCGCAGTCCGTTCGGCCTTCGGTGGTGCTGCTCGATATTGGCGTGGACTAGCCGCGATTTCTCGCACCGCGCGACAGCGAGTTGCCGCGACATGCCGCGAGATGCCCTTTCTAGGCGGGGACCGTGACCTGCCCTCTGTCTTTCGCACGCTCTGCGCCCTGACCGACGCCACGTCGAGCCGGCCACCCAGGCGCCTCTAGCCAGCCAGCCAGCCAGTGGTATTGCACACGAGGCGTTTTGTGCGTTCTCAGGGAGAGGCATCTCCACGGACAAAGTGCAGTAGTCAGAGGGGCGCCCCTCTAAGAGTGATTAGTTGCTAGCCATTGGCCAGTAGGCATCAAGCCACCCAGGCGCCACTCTTCACTCATACAGCTCTATCCTGTGAGTAACACTTGAAAGTCTGCTCCCAGACAAGCGCCACCGAGCCGCACGCGCGGCGGACGGCGTCTCTTCACAGCGGCCGGCTGCTGTGAACAGGCTCTTCCTCGTCAAAAGCCGCGAGCTGTACGCCGCCGCCGCCGCCGCCGCCGCCGCCGGTGTCGGCACGTGGAGCACCTTGCGAGAGCGGCTGGCGAAGCATGTCTCTCCGCCGCCGGCCTCGGGCGAGCGAGTGGCGGAGCGGGCCCGGGAGGGGCTGCGGGCGGCGGGAGGAGGCGGAGGAGGAGGCGAAGGAGGAGCCTCGGCGGGCGGTGTGGGCAGAGAGGAGGCGGAGGCGACGGCGCCGCTTTGCCACGCGTTCCTCAACACGGGCGCCTGCCGCCGCCGAAAGGGCTGCGGCTTCCGCCATGTGCAGCCCGACCACCCCGACGCGATCGCCGACGCAGCCAAGCGCGCGGCCCCGGGCCGTGCCCGTGGTCTGCCTGCTGAGAGCGCTAGACCCGCAACCGCACTCTGCCACGAATAGGCGCGCCCAGCCCGGCTGGCTGCCCGCGAGGCTCGAGGCGAGGCTGCTGCCGGGCGAGAGCCAGCTCGCCAGGCTCGAGTGCGCGCCCACCGAGCCGTCCACGGCGTGCGCCGCAGCTGAGACAGTGTTTTTATACAGGCAAGGTTGAAGGTAAGGTTTAACACGAAAGTGCGGGAGTTCGGGAGCGGGGAGGGAGGGGCAGGCTGCTCAGTGCTCACCCACGTGCACCGCCACCCCGGGGCCAGTGGCAGTGCTTGCACTTTGTGAATGCCGTGGGGCTCCTGCCCGTGTCCGGGTGTGGAGATGCGAGGGTCGCCCCCCCTTGCCCCACCACTTGTGTGTGTGGAAAAATTTACCTTACCTTACCTTGGTTCTTCACACACCGCTCACCCACGCGCACCGGGCCCTTGCACTTTAAATGCCGTGGGGCTCCTGTCGTTAGACGTGGAGATGCGAGGGTTGCCCCCCCTTGCCCCACCACCTCGTGTGTGTGGAGAAGTTTACCTTACCTTACCTTACCGTGTGAGTGAGTGTGAGTGAGTATTCTTGATACGAAACCACGACGACACACACCAGTCGACTCGCATCGGTTGCCTCCATGAACGGCGGAGCTATTCTCGCGCCCACACCACACCTGGCTCCAACGTGGACACGCCCATAGCTGGGGACACTACTAGGTCACGCATGGCATCAGAAGTTTTGTCTCTGGGCCCCGAAAGGCATCTCTAGCAGTGTCGTTACGCATGCCCCCTCCCCTCCTGGGCGCATGCGCCTCACGTCTCGCCAGAGCATACGCCCTTGGTGTGTGGCGAGACGAGTTTTTCGCCATGCAGCCAGCAGCAAGCCGCCCGCCGCAAACAGCCGGAGGCATCGCCACGGCACTGACTGCGCCGCGCTCCCGCACCCGTCGACGAATATAAAGTGTGTTGAGTGGGGGTAAGTGACATGTTAGTACGCATTGAGTATGTATGTATGTAGTAAGGTGAAGTGCAGTCTCGTGCCAGCGGCGTCCTCTTGGCATTTTGACACGTTTTCAACTTCTGGTCATCATTACATCGGGAATGGTGTGCCAACAGCAGCACGCGCGCCACAAGGCGCCGCACTGCTCGGAGGCGCTGCTGGAGCGCGCATACACGCTACCGCCGCGCTGGCCGATCGATGCTTTCCATCTGATCATGGAGCTGGGCACGCCGGGCTCGTGCGATCTGTACGCGCACAGGAGCAGAGGCTTTTGCTGTGACCTCGGACGGCGCGAAGGTGGCCGGCACCAGCGCCTCACCGATGAGCCCGAGCCGCACATCATGGAGGCCATCGCGTCCTTCCTCGAAGACTGCTCTCGCCGACCTGCGGCACGCCGCTGTCGGGCTCTCGACCTCGGTGCAAACAACGGGTGGATGACCGCGGCAATGCTCGCTCTCGGAAGCCACGTGGTTGCTGTGGAGCCCGCGGCCGACTTTGCGCGAGCGATCAATGAGACGGCCGCGCTCAACTGCTGGTCCGATCGGCTGACCATCCACAACAGCCGCGCGTGCGTTCGCGGCATCGCCGAGTGCTTCGAGCCGCGGCACTGCCCAGACTGCTCCGGCTGTGGCGGCTGGCGGTGGGGCAACATCTACGGTCTCGACCAGAATAAGGTGAGGTACGGCCGCAACTGCTCGAGCCAGCTGACTCTGCCGGACAGCGTGAGCGGCCGCGACTTTGAGGAGCTGCTCTGGGAGGCCGCGGGCGCCGACGGCCGGATCGACCTTCTGAAGATGGACGCCGACGGTCCCGAGGGCCGTTGGATGAGCACGCTCGAGCGGCTGATCAGCGGCGGCGCAGACAGAGAGACCAAGGAGAGGGGCGCCGGTGGCCACAGCGGCGGGCGGCGGCTGCGCGTGCACACGATCATCGTCGAGGCGTCGCATGTCGAGCCGCGCACGATGGTGCGCTATCAGAGTGTGCATGGCTACACGGTGCTGCGCCTCGATCAGCACGACGGCCGACGGTGGCTCACGCCCGAGGGATTCGACGCCTTCAGCGCCGAAGGCACGATCGAGCCAGGTGATCGGAAGCACTGCAAGTACTCGCCGCCCACGCGCCTCGCGCCGATGGGCGATAACGTCTCGCGATTTGAGCTCGAGGACGAGTGGTTTGGCGTGCGTGCGATGCGGCATGTCTTCCATATCAAGCCGAATCTGACGGAGCAGGGCTGGACGACGATCATGCAGCCTGCGATCAGGTGCAGCTACCCCGGGCAGTACGTGCTCACGCTCGACTCGCCGCGCCGGCTGCTGCCCGAAGAGCGCTCGTTGCGGGCGTCGCTCCCCGGCTACCTGGCCTCGCCCGAGTACCGCCACATGAATGCGCAGAAGGAGCTGATGGGCGCGTCAGCAAGAGCGACACCGACGGCGAGCGCGAGAGCCTGACAAACTCAGTGAAGTATCATCTATCAAGTAACGTGTACTAGATACAGTCGTAATTGAGTAGTTCGTCTATCCTACGGTAGAAGCTAGAACACGGTCGAGAACACGGTACACCGATCACCGATGCATCGCATCCGAGATTCGTGGTAGGTTCATGCGATGCATGACGTGACTCAGTGCGGTACTGGTTGACAGTCGAGCGGATGACGCGTGTGCATGGACATACTCGTTCTTCGCCTGTTATCCCGAGCGCGCACGGTGGCTCGCCCCGCCGGCGTGCGGCGCAGACTGCGAAGAGAGATAGGAAGAGGCGGACGCCCAAGGGTGGGCGACGGCTAGTGCACCACACCCCTCTCCTTAAAATCCCTGTGTGGTGGCGGCGTGCCGTCCTCCCATCCCTCCCTTGGGTTGTCCGTTTTCTTTCTTTCTTTTAAACAAACAACTCTAACACTCACACTAAGAATACAAGAATGAGAATTGTTAAAATACAAGCCTCTCCCACAGCACACTGGCACAACAAGGGCGCGGACTGGCGCGGTAGGTAGGTAGGTAGAAAGGTGAAGAACTGACAGGCAATTTGAGAAAAAGAAAAAACTCGGCCTTGACCGACCGCGCACGCCGAATTTCGAGTTGGATTTGCCACTAGGATCCCTAGCACGAAGGGATTGGAAAGGTGCCTTTTGCCTCGCCCGGCGCGACGCAGCGCGAGATGAGAGCTGCGCCCGCGCGGGCCCTCTCGCCTCGCCCCACAACCACCACTGCAGCGAGCCCGTGCCGGCTGCACACCGTGCTGCGACCGCGCGCGAGCGGCTCGCTCCGAGGATTGAGCGCCGCGAATCTGGCACAATCAGATCGCGGTCTGAGCGCGGCTGAGCGCGCGGCCGCGGGTCGCCTCCGTGCCTACTGCGCCCCCGCGACCCCCAAAACGAGCCCGCGCCATGCTCGTCCCATGTTATGCTTCTGACGCTCGCGCCGCCGCCTGTCCCCCCCGTCCTCGCAGATCCAAAACAACGTGGGCGAGATGGCGGGCCTCGTCGCCCTACCGGGTCTCCTTCTGGGTCTCGTTGAGGGCAGCGATTGGCCCGACATCGCGGGCTACACCCCCGGCTCGGACGTGACCAAGCACGCCAACCTCAACCTCGACCAGCAGGCGCTGGAGGCGGCGCTCAAGGAAAGCACTAACGGCACCGACACTCCAAACTTTGACCTGGCCGAGGACTTGTACGCCGTCGGCGGGAACTCGCTGTCGGGCAAGGCCCCCAGCGGGCTCCGCACCATGAAGGGCTTCTCCACCAGCGCCGAGGGCAAGATGTACAACGGCAGCGACTGCGCCGGCTGCCCGTACCAGACCTTCTCGGCCTTCTACGACTACTACTTTGACTACGCCGACAAGTGGGTGAGCGCCGCCCTCGACGGCACCAACATGATCTTCAGCAGCGGGCGGCACGGCCCGAACAACTTCGCCACGCTCGGCGACGCCGCGCGGATCGAGGCGGTCAAGAAGGGGACGGCGCCCGACTTCGCGGCGGTCAAGGCCGCCTTCGAGAGCACCTACGACTGCCTCGGCATCACTTGCGCCGACGTGGGCGGCCTCTCGCCTGGCGGCGTGGCGGCGGCGTGCAACGAAACGAGCCCTTGGCCCGACATCGCGGGCTACACCCCCGGCTCGGACGTGACCAAGCACGCCAACCTCGACCTCGACCAGCAGGCGCTGGAGGCGGCGCTCAAGGAAAGCACTACCTCCATGAAGCTCAACATCGGCGCCTACGCCGAGCTCGCCCCATTTGACGAGACTTGCGGCGCGACCAAGATCGGTTCTCGACTCGTGAAACCCTCACTCGCGGAGAGCTTCACGACCGCCACGGCCCTCTCAGAGGTCGATGTGGCCTCGCTGCTCTTTCTCCGCTCTTGTGCGGCCGTGCTGGCGCTGCTCCTCGCGGCGTTCCTTGAGCCGCTGCTGCGTGGGCAGGTCAAGAAGAAGAGGGTGGAGGGCCGCAGCCACGCAGCGATCTCCGTGCACCTGCTCGCCAGCACGCGTGCTCTCCGAGTCGGCATTGTGATCCTCTTCTTCCTGCAGGGCGTGTGCGGCACACGGTGTGGCGTGGACAGCTGCACCGACGCCGTCCTCGCAACGCTCGCCCAAGATCTGACCGCCAACTACAAGGGCTTCTCATCGTGCGAGTCTCGCATCAACTGGCTGAAGAGCAACACCGACCGGATCGAGGTGGAGGCGTGCGAAAAGGTCGCAGAGGAATTTCCGGAAGAGTGTGGCGCCTGCCACCCCTTCCAGTCGCCGCCTCCGCCGCAAACCTCGCCGTCGCCGTCGCCGCCGCCGCCACCATCACCACCGCCGCCGCCGTCACCGCCGCCGCCCTACGTCCTGGCTGCTCGGTGTGGCGTGGACAGCTGCACCGACGCCGTCCTCGCAACGCTCGCCCAAGATCTGACCGCCAACTACAAGGGCTTCTCATCGTGCGAGTCTCGCATCAACTGGCTGAAGAGCAACACCGACCGGATCGAGGTGGAGGCGTGCGAAATGGTCGCAGAGGAATTTCCGGAAGAGTGTGGCGCCTGCCACCCCTTCCAGTCGCCGCCTCCGCCGCAAACCTCGCCGTCGCCGTCGCCGCCGCCGCCACCATCACCACCGCCGCCTCCCTCACCGCCGCCACCGCCCTCACCGCCGCCGCCACCCTCGCCGCCGCCGCCGCCCTCGCCGCCGCCGCCGCCTCCATCCTTGCCGCCGCCGCCCTCACCGCCTCCACCGCCCTCACACGCGCCGCCCGCTGCCCCACCTCCCTCGCCGCCTGCACCGCCGCCGCCCTCGCCGCCCCCTTCCGCTCCGCCGACACCCTGCAGTTGCGACGCCGACGCCCCGTGGGATCCTCCCGGGGGGGCAGGGGCGGCGCAGGGCGCGTGTCGGACGGCGGACGGCGGCTTCGGAAACTACACGGAGTACCGCGGCTACGGCAACCTGACGGAGTGCAAGGCTCTGTGCTGTGACACCCCCGGCTGCGTGGCGATCGAGTTCACGGCGGACTCCGGGAAGTGCGAGATCCACACAGACAACGTGACACGCACTGAAGAAGTCAGCGGCTACGACCACAACTGCTACGTCAAGCATCCACCTTGCCCGCCCTCACCGCCGCCGCCACCATCGCCGCCACCGCCTCCAGCCTCGCCGCCGCCGCCCTCGCCGCCGCCGCCGCCCCCGTCGCCGCCGCCGCCCTCACCGCCGCCGCCGCCCTCACCGCCACCGCCGCCCAGTCCACCGCCGCCGCCCTCACCGCCTCCACCGCCCTCACCGCCGCCGCCGCCCTCAACGCCGCCGCCGACCAGTCCACCGCCGCCGCCCTCACCGCCACCGCCGCCCAGTCCACCGCCGCCGCCCTCACCGCCTCCACCGCCCTCACCGCCGCCCTCACCGCCTCCACCGCCCTCACCGCCGCCGCCGCATCCGTCGCCGCCGCCGCCCAGTCCACCGCCGCCGCCCTCACCGCCGCCGCCGCCCAGTCCACCGCCGCCGCCCTCACCGCCTCCACCGCCCTCACCGCCGCCGCCGCCCAGTCCACCGCCGCCGCCCTCACCGCCGCCGCCCTCACCGCCGCCGCCGCCCTCAACGCCGCCGCCGCCCAGTCCACCGCCACCGCCCTCACCGCCTCCACCGCCCTCACCGCCGCCG